GGTTAGGGCTTCAACATACGGATTTGGGGTGGGACACAGCTCAGTCCATAGCATTCCATTCTCTAGTCCCCAAAATTCATATCCTTTTCACAAGCAAAATACATTTACCCCATCCCAACAGCCTCAAAAAGACTGTTATGGGTGAGATATGGGTGAGACTTGAGGTGTGATTCATCCTGGACAAAATTCCTCTCCATCTGTGAACCTGTGAAACCAGACAAGTTACATGCTTCCAAAATACAGGTTCAGAAGGACATTCTCATTACAAAAGAGAGAAATCAGAAAGAAGAAAGGGGTGATGGGCCCCACACAAGTCCAAAACCTAGCAAGGCAAATTCCATTAGGTGTGAAAGCTCTAGAATAATCCTCTGGCGGGATGTTCTGCCTTTGGCCCACAGGGGCAGCAGTGTCATCCCCACAGCCCTCAGCAGCAGCCCTGTCCCGTCTTCCCTGAGCAGCACCCCCAACCCTGCAGCTTCTTGCGGCAGTCCTCCTGCCCCTGAGGCACTGGGCAGGGGAAGCCGGGCTTCCTGAAACCGAGAGTGGGTCCCAACCTCTGAAACCAAGAAAGAAACAGCCTTGCCTTCTGGGTCTGTACGCTCTAGGTATATAGTGCGAATGGCAGCCCTGATGGTCTCTGAATCACCTTCAGGGTCATTCTTCCCTTTTCTTAAAGGATAAAGCATATTCACAGCCAAGTAGCTCTTTTGTCCTGCCCTGTAGAATCCCAGCAGTTCAAAGACCTCCCTTTATTTCATTTTATTTCTGTTCCTGTTGGTCCACACTGGCAGTGTCTCTGCTAGCATAATCCCATCTCTATTCCTGATACCTGCTGAGCTGGCAGATTAACTGCATGAGTCATCTCCTCATAGGGTGATTGTCCGGCCACAGCCTTGGTATCCTCTCTAGAGCATACATTCTCATTTTTTGCAGTGTAGATGGACTGAGAATTTTCCAAATCTTCAAGCTCTGGTTCCTTTTTCCTTAGCAATTCCTTCAACTTATCGCTCTCCTCTTGCATTTTACTATAAGCAACAGGAAGAAACCAGGTCACACCTTTAACACTTTGCTCAGAAATCTCCTCGGCCAAATATCTAAATACACTTGGAATTCTACCTTCCACAAAACACTAGAACGCAATTCAACCAAGTTCTTAGTCACTTTAAAACAAGGATCGCCTTTCTTCTAGTTTCCAAAAGCATATTCTGCCTTCTCATCTGAGACGTCACCAGAGTCACCTTTAACGTTCACAGCCCTACCAACATTCTATTCATGATGATATGTGTCTTCTCTAAAATGACACTTTCTTTACAGCTCCTCTCTTTTCTTCCTGAACCTTCACCAGACTGCCTTTAACATCATATTTCTAACATCAGTCCCTTCAAGGCAATCTAGTTTGTTTGCAGCATGGACCTCTAAGCTTACCCAGCCTCTATCTACTACCCAGTTCCAAGCCACCTCTCCATTTTTAGGCATTTGTTACAGTAGGACCCCACTTCTTGGTACTGACATCTGTATTAGTCTTCCAGAGCTTTGCATAACTGACACCATAGACTGGGTGGCTTAAATGACTGAAATTTATTTTCTCACAGTCTGGAGACCAGAAGTCCAAGATCAAGGTATTGACAGGGATGGTTTCTGATGCGGCCCCTTTTCCTGGCTTTTAGACAGCTGCTGTTTTGCTGTGTCCTCACTTGGCCTGTTCTCTGTGTGAGCATGCAGAGAGAGCGAGCTCTGGTCTCCCTCTTCTTGTAAGGACCCTAATCCTATCAGCTCACGGCCCCACCCTGATAACCTTGTTTAACATTTATTACCTCTTTATAGGCTCTACCTCCAAATACAGTCACATTGGGGGTTAGGGTTTCGATATATGAATTGGGGTGGGGTGGGGGAGGCACAATTTAGTCCATAACAGGGGCTCTAGCCCTAGAGCCATGAGGCTAGGATTCTAGTCCCTGCTCTCTCCAACCAGCTCTGTGACTTTGGGTAAGTCATTCTGCTTTCTGGGCCTTAGTTTCTAACCAATGCCCTGGGAATATTAATGGCTACCCCAACCCATTTAACACAGGAGCTGTGAGAAGCTGTTGAGATAATGGTAGTGGAAGTACTGCCCCAGGTAAAAAATGCTGAAGTATTAAGTCTAACTTATTCTATGGACAATCTACTTGCAAAAGGCATCCAAACTCCCTATCTGAAATTTACTTCCATTTGCTGGCACTCAGCTGATCAATATTTAATCAGCATGCGTCCCTGAAAATTGGGAAGTAGTTCACAAGAAGAAAACGTCCCGTGGTTACTGCACTGACCAAGGAGTGAGAAAGTTCTCGGTTCTGTCTTGCAACTACCCTCCTCCACATTTATACACAGGAACAAATGTATACACAATTTCTGACCCCCTGGAAGACTTTCCTTTTATTTGTAGAAAACATATCTGTTATTTATAAAGAATACTACATCTCTACGCAGTCTTTAAAATATTCATGATACTTAACCTAGTAATTACATTTCTGGGAAACCAGCCTAAAAAAATAATCTGTAATGCATACAAAGATCTATGGACTAGAATGTTCGTATTGCTGTTACTTATAATTGTGAAAATATTGGAGATGACCTAAATATCCAATTGTGAAAGAACAGTTAATAAATTATAGAATATTCATATGATGGATTATTATGCGGCCACTTAAAACAATGTTTGCACAGAGTTTATGCTCTGATGTTAAGTGGAAAGAGCAGTGTCCAAAATTACAAATGTAAATACGATCTCAGCTATGTAAATAAAGGACTTTAAAAAAAGACTAGAAGGAAATGTGCCAAAATGTTAGCGACAGTCACCTCTGGATGGTGAGACTATGGTTGGATGAAGGCTTTTTTTGTTTGGTTTGGTTTGTTTGGTTTTTGTTCATTATTTTCTGGGTTTTGTTTTTTTTTTTTGCCTCTTCTATTTTCTGTAACATTTATGTACTTATGTGTTACTGTAGTAATGGGGGTGGGTGGATAAATAAATGGCAAACACAGGAAAAAACACAAAAGGAATAATGGTTTTTCCTAGTGTCTTATGCAGAGAGTTTTGCATACTTGACCTCTCTTTGCATGCTTGATTCTCTCCTCTGATATCAGGAAAACCGAGGCAGAGTTAGAGCAACCAGTTCCAAATTTCAGGAGTCCAGGTAACCCAGATCCCTGTTCCTTCTAGCTACAATGTAATATCACGGTTAGGAGGTGGCCACCCTGCCGGGTTTAAATCCCTCTTCTTTCCGTTACTGGCTGTGTGACCATGGGCAAATAGCCTTTTCTGTGACTTTGTTGCTTCATCTACAAAAGATGCTAACGATGATAGTTCCTGCATCACAGGGTTTTTGTGAGGCTTAGATGGGTGCTTCGAGTAGCACCTCTCATGCAGTAAATAGTCAACAAATGTTAATTTTAATTATTCTCATTCTACTGCTAAAAAGTGTGGTCGTGGGGAGGATGTTCATAATGGTTGGCTTGTGCTTTTAGTTATGCAACACGTGAAGAGTCTAATTATATACTGATTCTTTAATTATTATCAAAGACATTGATCCTGTTCTACTGTAATTATCTTTTTCGTACTCCACCTCCACTATATTGTGAGCCCCATGTGAACAGGAGCTGCACCTTTTTCCTCTCTCACCACCACCCCCTGCTGCCACATTTGGAAGGTACAATATATGTTTAATTAAACTAATTATAAATTAAATAATTAATAATAATTATTATTTCATTCTGGCTCAGCACAAACTTCCAGGTTGCTCGTGAGTGAATTGTCCTCATGCGCCCTTATTATGAAAATAGTGTTGGCCCTGTGATGACTTTGCTTTGTAAACCAGTTTCCTGGAAGCGTAACTTTAGCAAGTATAACTTTAGCAAGTTTCATTTAGTTCAAAGTGCTTTTCAGTTTCTCTTGAGAGTTCTTCTTTCATCCATATGTTATTCACAATTGTATTATTTAATCTCCATGTATTTTGAAAATTTCCAGTTATCTTTTAATTATAGATTTCTAGTTTAAATCCACTGTGGTCTGAGAGCTGACAGTGTATGATTTCTATTCTTTGAAATTTGTAAGGATGTGTTTTATGGCTCTGAATGGGGTCTGTAGTGGTGAATGTTCCATGTCATCTTGAGAATGCGTACTCTGCTGTTGGTGGTGAAGTAGGATATAGATGTCATTTATATCCAATTGATCCATGGTTTGAGTTCAACTATGTCCTTACTGATTTTCTGCCTGCTGGATCTGTCCATTTGTGATGGAAGGTGTTGAAACCTCTTACTCTGATAGTGGATTCATCTATTTCTCTTTGCAGTTCTATAAGTTTTCACCTCACATAATTTGATGCTCTGTTGTTAGGCACAGACACATTAAGGATTCTTACGTCTTCTTGGAATATTGATCTCGTTATCATTATGAAATCGTCTTCATCCCTGAAAATTTTCCTTGCTTTGATGTCTGCTCTGTCTAAAATTAATATAGCTACTCCTGATTTCTTTTGGATAGTGTTAGCATGGTATATTTATCTCCATCCTTTTAATTTATGTATATAAATATATTTATCTTTGCTTTTTTTACAGGAAAGTAGGATTTATTGGTGGGTGTGAATAAGGAGGGGACAGCGCCAAAGCTCTCATGAGTGCAAGGCCTGCCATTTGTTGAGGGGGCCACAACTAGGGATGCATTTGACCCCATAGCCATTTGGAATGAGCTGCTTTTCTGCCACCATGTTTTCAAGTTCATCTGCATTAAACTTGGTAAATCCCCACTTCTTGGAGATGGGGATCTTCTGGCAGCTGGGGAACTTGAACTTGGCTGCATAGGACCTCAATCACATGCTCTTGTTCTGCAGCTTGGTGTGGATGGATGTGATGATTTGGCCAATATGGACCCTGGCCACTATGCCCTGGGACTTTCCAAAAGCACCCCGCATCCCTGTCTGGAACCTAGGTTGGGGACAGCAGGACAGACATGAATGTCCACTGGAAAGAGCTGTCTCCAAGGTCTCTTAGGGGCAACCCATACAGGCAACAGGCTGCATACACTACCAAGGAAGCTGTACACACTGGACCATTACACACTGGGTCCCCACAAGTTAAAGAGCATAGTCGGCTTAATTGGCTGCAGATAAATACATTTATCTTTATATCTAAAGTGGGTTTCTTGCACATATATCATTGGGTCTTGTTTTTCGGTCCGCTCTGATGATCTCGTTTTTTAAATTAGAGCAGTTAGACCATTGACATTCAAAGTGATTACTGACATAGTCAGATTGATATCTACCATATCTGTTACTGTTTTCTATTTGTTGCCTTTGTTCGTTGTTTCTGTTTTTGTCTCTGTTTCTGCCTTCTGTGGTTTTATTTGAACATCACATACGATTCCATTTTTGCTCTTATCTTAGTATATCTTATACTTTTCTCCCACTTTTTTTAGTGCTTGCCTTAGAGTTTACAATACACACTTATATCTAATCCAAGCCAATTTTCCAATAACACTGTGTCACTTCCCAGGTAGTATGAATACAGTATAACAACAAAATACTCCTAATTCTTCCCGTGTATTGCTGCCTTCATTCATTTCATTTATATGTAAGCATTTCTGTAAATACATATACACACTGATGTATTGTTCTCAGGCAGTGCTGATGCCGTTGACTAGCGAGCACATTTTGAGAGCTGCTGCTTCTGGATGCCATTGAAAAACACTGCAGTTGTCCTTTTGCCTTATCTCCAGTTTTTGGATAATTTTTCTCAACAATTATCAACACTAAAAAATCAGAACATTAAAAATAGGTAGAACATTCTTTGACATAAATTGCAGCAATATATATTTTTTGGATCTGTCTCCTAAGGCAAAAGAAAGAAAAGCAAAAATAAACAAATGGGATCTAATGAAATTTTAAAACTTAAAAAAAAATTTAAGGCTGCAGGGAACTTCCTCCGGCACTTCATGATTGCCCACCAGGGCCGTCAGTGAAAGCTGGCTGGAAGTGGTGGGAGGGGACATTTTATGGCTGACCTCGTGGGCTGCTTCTGCCCGCCACTCACTGCCATCTTGGGAAATCCCCTAAACTTAAAAACTTTTGCACAGCAAAGGAAACCATCAACAAAATGAAAAGACAACCTACTGAATGGGGGAAAATATTTACAAATGATATGACTGATAAGGGATTTCTATCCAAAACATATAAACAGCTCATACAATTCAACCATAAAAACAAACAAGTTGATTAAAAAACGGGCAGAAGAACTGAATAGAAATTTTTCCAGAGAAGACATACAAATGATCAAAAGGCAAATGAAAAGATGTTCAACATCATTAATCATCAGACAAATGCAAATCAAAACTACAATGAGCTGTCACCTCACACCAGTCAGAATGACTATCATCAAAAAGACCGTAAATATACAAGTGTTGGTGAGGATGTAAAGAAAAAGAAACCCTTGTACACTATAGGTAAGAATGTAAATTGGTGCAGCCACTGCAGAAAACAGTATGGAGTTTCCTCAAAACACTAAAAATAGAACTACCATATGATCCAGTAATTCCATTCTTGGGTATACACCCAAAAAAACAAAAACACTAATTTGAAAAGATACATGCACCCCAATGTTCATAGCATCATAGCCAACATATGGAAAAAACCTAAGTGTCCATCAACAGATGAGTGAATAAAGAAGATGTGGTACATATATATCATGGAATAGTACTCAGCCACAAAAAATGAAAATTTGCTATTTGCAACAACATGGATGGACTTGGTGGGTATCATGCTTAGTGAAATAAGTCAGGCAGACAGAGAAAGACAAATACTGTATGGTATCACTTATATTTGGAATCTAAAAATAAAACAAACTAGTGAATATAACAAAAAAGAAGCAGACTCACAGATATAGAGAACAACCAGTCATTACTAGTGGGGAGAGGGAAGAGGGTTGATGATTAAGAGGTACAAACTACCTTGTATAAAATAAGTAAGCTACAGGGTTATATAGTACAGCACAGGGAATATAGCCAATGCTTTATAACAACCATAAATGGACTATAATGTTTAAACATTGTGATTCACTGTGTTTTACACCCAAAATTTATATAATACTGTAAATCAACTATACCTCAATTTAAGAAAAACAGAAAGTCCATTTCAGAGTAAATTTCTTTATATTAAAAATCTTTGATCATAAATGGCTGTTGAATTTTATCAAATGCTTTTTCTGCATCGATTGAGATGATCATGTGGTTTTTGTCCTTTCTCTTGTTGATGTGATGCATAAAGAATTGTGCCATAAAAAAGATATTTTAAAATGTGGAGGAATTGATTAAGAAATGATTAAGACTGTCTACTGGATGTGGGAAGGTGACTGTTCTGTAAAGTCTTTACATACTGTACATAATAACTAAGATAGATCTTAAAGAATCAGTAGGTATTCCCAGGTAGACACAGTAGTTGTGAGTGAAGAGTGTTTCAAGAAGAGAAAACAGTATGTATAAACGCATAGTGATGTAAGTCAGTCTTTAAAAAAGATTCATTCAACCAACCTTGACTGAGTTCCCACTAACTGCCAGGCTCTGGACCAATCAGGGAACTGCAAGAGTTCAGGGAACTGCCGGCATGCAGGCAGCAGAACCGGGTAGAAGTTCAGAGCGTAGGCTTTGCTCAGTGCCTATATGTCATCAGATGTCACCCACTGGTACTTCTTCCATGTTGTTAATTTGGTATAAATGGCATTACCTGAATGGGTGTGCAAGATAATAACTTTTTTAAAGTACATACACACACAAAATAAATCAGGAGATTAAAAAATTTTTTGATCCTGGCTTCTCTTCAAATATTAGAAGGTTGGGCAATAGTAAGCCTAAATTCCCCTATGGTCATCATCACCCCCACCCACATCACTCATTTATTTTATAGGCATTTGATTTTGCTATCCCCGTGAAAGGTGGTAGAGACATAATGCAGACTTCTGAGGAGGGGCATGAGCATAGCTGGTTAATCTTCTCTGATTAATTCAGACATTCAGGCCTGGCTTCACAGAAGTATGACCCAGGAAGTTGCACAGGACCCCAGTCTCAAAAGGTCCTCATACTTGGCTTAATGTTCCACTGTTGTGATCTTGAAATTCTTAATAATTTTTGGACAAGGGAAATTGCATTTTCATTCTGTAGAAGGACCCAGAAATCATGTGGCTGATCATGCAGCCACCCCACACTTAATGTTAACCTTCTCATCACCAGATTGCTGGGGAAAGGTAATTCCAGGATCAGCGATTTGGGGCAAGGGAGTATCCAGAAACTATCTTGTTCAGCAGACAAGGTAATTATTTGATTTTATAGCGAGAGCTGCTGTGGTCCAGAAAGAGGGAATTGACTTCCTCAAGGTCATGGAGAAACCTTGAGAAAGGAGCCAGATTGGAAGCCTAAAGTGATGAGTCTGCGAGCCAGTGAATACTAACGCTGCCAGTGAGTTTATGTATCTGATGTACCTCTGCATACCAATGAGAAAATTCCTGTTTGTCACTTAGCTCAGTCAACTTCGGGTTGATCTGGCTGAAGCAGGAGAAGGAGGTGGATAAAATGAGAGGGTGGAAGTATGATCTTGAAACTGCTCAAGAAAACTGTATAAACAGGCCTAGTTTAGCATAAGGATTGGAAAGGAGGAAAACGTTGCGTATGAACTCCACCCCTAAGTTTGTTACAAAGAGCAGACATCCACCTAAATCCCAAATAAATTGCAAAGAGCAAAGGCATTCAGGGAATGCCACTATATTGCCTGATAAAAGAAGGCAATCAAGGGTCAAGGAAGTACTTGATTTCAGCTGGTCCCACTTAGCTGGAAAATAGCTCCGTTACTTGTAGGTCTCAGCTGCTTGGCTTAAGGTTAATGGCTGCATACACCCAGTGAGAAAGCTGAGTCTCTGCAGCCGATCAAGTGGTAAGCTGGACTGGGAGTTAAGCAAATAAGTTAGCCCTTGCACCTGTTCTCACCTTCTTGCGGTTTGGGTGGGGTGGAGCCTCCTCTCCCAACCCATCCACCCCCTCAGAGATAGTCGAAGAACCAAGGCCTGGATATAGAACTCCAACCCCAGACCCACTGTGTTTGGCTCAGCTATGGGTA